ACTCCACTTTAGCCAACGTTCCATTATTGACCAGGCGATCGATATCTGCGTTCAATGGCCGGCAGGGCCAATGAGCTGTTCGAGCAGAGCTTCAGACGAATATGAAATTGGTGGTCCGAAAACGGCTGGATACTTTGCTTGAAGTGCGTCGAACGTTGCAGATGCCCATCGTGTTGATTACGCTCCATCTGCGTTGCAGAACTTGTATGTGCACTTGTTGAGAGCCCGGGAGCCGATCTGTTTGAACGTGTTCTCGCTAATCACCGACATGTCCACATCTGTGTCCGCTGGTATCTCGACCCGGAAGCCGTTGATGTTGACGTCGAACAATTTGCTTTTCCTCTGGGTTCCCATGTAAACGTCCATGATCTGGATGGTCCCCACATTGGTCTTCTTCTTCGACCTACAAACTTGAGTCAGGTGTCCAACTTTTCCGTAATTGTGACATTCGTTGTCGATCTACGGACAGACCTTGTTGTCGTGCGTGTCGCATCCACAGCGATTGCATGGCGATCTTGATCCATGGATCTGTATCCCTTTATCATGCTTCCTTCTTTTTCCGTTTGTTTTGTCTTTCTTCTGCGTGACGGCATTGATATCGAGTTTAGTTTCCAGGCCCCTTCCGACTGTGGTGTTCGAAACGCGTTCGGAGTGGACACGGCACAGATTCTCGAAACGACGTTGGAAAAGAGCGCGCGTGTCGGGGAACAAATATCCCAGTTCCTTCACCAAGTCGCTGGACTTCATTTCCGTTGGCTCCTTGGGCGAAATACGGCCCCAAAGCCGGCGGTACTCCTGTTCACCCAGCGCATTTAGCAGGAGTTCGACTTGTTGTACGTCAGTCAAAAGCGTAGATGCTGAGTTGAAGCTTATGCATTTTGTACCACTGGGAAAACGTGCTGCTTGACGTCGGATCGTAGGTAAACGTTCCTAGTCGCTTTGCAATGTCGTCGAGCGAAGGCTTTGGCGATGTCGTCCCATTAGCGTTTCTTGCTGCTTGAGTTCCATGAGAATCGCAAAGATTTCCTTCAGAAGAATTTTAGTCGATTTTGAGTCCATCGTTCAGGTTTGTAGCAGTGCCAATGGATGGTTTGGAAACAATAGCAGAATAGTTGAATAAACAAGCGGTTTATTCTTAAACAATTGGTATACACTTTTTGGATTCACACTAACTCACTCACTAACCCGCTACGGAGCCGGGTATTTATAGTCTATATACCAGGGCTTCTAGTCAGGCGGATAATGCTCTCGAACATCATAATAATATCAGTCCTGACTTGGAAAGTTCTCAACGAGATAATAATACAGTCCTAACTTAAAATGTTCTGGAATACTCGAATAATGGATAATGGATAAAAAATATTGTTCGATACGAGGGCAAAAATGAGTTTTTCAAACTCCTGACGGATTGAAACGCCGTCGTCGAACGAAAAACGACACTTTTCGCCCTAGTATCGAAAACTACTATTATTTATCAGTTTTATTTTTTTAATTACGGATGTCCAAGGTAAGTACGGCGACAAACATTTTTAGAAATTGGAAATTTACGCTTATCTGTTTAGGTTAGTGCACATAATGTTTTTCAAAAAAACACCTAAACAATGGAAATGGGGATGCAGTTTAGGGGGTGAAACCAGTTTTTTGCGATTAGCGGCGAAACGTGACCTCTTAGCGGTGTTTTTGAAAAAAACACCAAAACAATGGAAATGGTGAAATGGGGATGCAGTTTAGGGGGTGAAACCAGTTTTTTGCGATTAGCGGCGAAACGTGACCTCTTAGCGAAAAACATTCAATAGCAGAGTTGTAGATAATAAAAAAATCGAAAACTTTTGTATTTAGCACTTTTTCACATAACCTCAAATTAACCGTCACAATGGAGAAAATTCGATTTTTCGGTATTTAACATGTTCACAGCCAAGCTGCCAAGTCAAATTTTTCAAGATAAAAAAATCTTTATTTCGTTATTACGTTTTAATCTGCACTTGATAAAAAATTGTTTACCAACTTTTTGCATACTTTTAAATGTGTATTATTTTCGATACGCCGGCCTGTGGAAAAGTTGGGAAGTTTGAGTCAGGAGGAAATCAGAGTCAGTCAGGCACTATCTTGTAAAAAAATTAAGTTGGAAGAAGAAGAGTTCGGGGGCGCTGCTCCAGTTGATACAAAAAATATGGTCGAAAAGAAATTGATGGGAAAATTGTGAGAGCCACCTACGGCCTTTTTTGAGTAGCACAGGTAAGAATGAATTTTATTTTCAGTTTTCCCATGATTGCGTATAGAGTATATTACAGGCGTTTTCAAATAAATACTAAGAAAAACATTTTAACTATAAACTTGGGGTTCTGTCCAAAAGGGTTAAATATAAAAATTATTACATTTTTTATTATATGCAACGCCTGCTATTGACCGTTTTCTGCTAGCGAGTCATGTTTCGCGGCAAATCCCAAAAAGCCGTTTTCAACCCCTCAACTGCATCCCCATTTCACCACTTCCACTGTTTTTGCGTTAAAAATCATCTTTTTCTTGAAGTGTGAACCTCAACAACATTTTCCACCTGGTCATTGTCTGTTTTTTATATATCAAATTCGTCAAAATGCCATTTTTTGTCTAATAACAATAAAAACTACAGCTAAAAATACTGCGTACCCCGCGTACCGCACATGAACTGGCGATGTAACGACAATGTTGGACAAAAATAAGGTTTTCTCTTGCAACGGCAATAAATCTAAATAAGGCACCCAACAATACGACCATTAAGTTCGACTATGAAGTAGAGGGACCAATGAAATTCTAATGCGGCAACATCACGTTCACGTTGACCCGACCATACTCCGTACACGATAACCATAGATCACGATAAGTCTGGTCGCACGTCATGCAGGTATTTTTTTCTTAACCGTCCGCATCAGTCCTGGCTGATTGCGCTTGCGCGTCTCGCTGCCATGTTGCCGCTATGGACATATTTGGTTTTTAACCTCCTGGCCTTGCTCGAATAGCGACGCCTAACCTCAAAGAAAGTCGTGTGGCGAACTCTATGCGCCAATTCTCAAATAGCAGCTCCAGCCGAAATGCCAGTTATATATCACCCAATAACATCTGTGCCGTTTCGGTTCAAATACAACTTCTAATACTATATACTATATATAAAAGTAGTAAAAAATTTAATATTAGGACTATCTTCAAAACTGAAAATACAATTAGAAGTAAAATTTCAGTAACAAAACCTCATGATATAATTGAAAATACAAAAAATTTAATTTATTAAATTTATATAGGAGAAACCTCAAGACCATTACACAAAAGACTCAAAGAACACTAATCATACATAAAAAACAGAGAATATCATAAATCACACATTTGTCAACATGCATTTGATAATTGCCATAAAATTCAATGGAATAATTCCACAA